CTCTTACCCCCCCCCACCACCATCACACACACATACAGTACAGTCACATGTACTATATACAGATGGAAATCATTTCCTGTTTCCTTCACAGACGTCTCAGACTCATCACTGCAGCAGTGATTATAAATGACAGGATTTATTCATTTAAAGGGACAGTTCCCCCCTTTTTTTTTCATACTGTTTTAACTAATACACATACAGTACCAGGAACCATCATCAGGAACCTCACTGGTCCTCTTTAAGATAACGTTTGTTTAAAAGAAAAATGGTTCCTGTTGTGTGAAAAACAGTTCCACCAAAGTCCCTGTGTCTCCTGCCTCTGAGCCTGGAGAAGTTTAAGCAACTGCATCAGGAAGCTGTTAGCCGTAAGCTCCGCCCCCCTCACCCCCCCACAGCACCGGTCCACCCTAACTATTCCTATTCCAAGAACAGGAACAGGAAATGTTCTGGGTTTTTAAAATGGTCCTGCTGACCTTCATTCAAACATAATGATGTCATCATCTGTTTGTTTTCATGTTGTTACAGAAAAAGGTTCAGGCCTGTGTTTTCTCCCGCTGACAGCTGGTACCTGTTGCCTAGTAACCAGCGTCACCTCATACTCCAGCTGCTGGTTTGGATTAAAAAAAAAACTGACAAACGTCATTACAGACGTTTGTCATTCACACATCCTGTAATGTGTGTGTGTGTGTGCAGCAGGGGAGCTGAACTACTGTTATATCTGAGAAAGAAGACAGCGACACTACGTTGCTGGTTGCACTCCTAGCTGCTAATAATATTAGCTGATGACACGAAGCTGCGATTGAATTGTGATCAAAAGTTTCCTGAACCAGACTGTGACGTGCACGATGTCGTGCACGCTGACGGTAACGAGGCGCCACATGTGGCCGCGGATCACGGCCCACTCCTCGGACTCCTTAACACCGAGTGACAGGTTTCTATATTTGTATCCAGGCTTCATTCTGCTCCTCAGTCAGACGGTGGCGCTAAGGTGCAGTTAACAGACCCGATGCTTTGTAGCGGACATTCACAGATGATGTGGGACAAACGGGGAGGAGAGGAGAGGAGAGGTGCCGGCGCTGAGCGGTGGGCGGAGCCACATCAGGATCTGGTTTCACATAATTAGATTCTCAGGGTTATTTCTGGGGTCTCCTCTGCCACCGCACAGGGGCTGCTGTCAATCAGAGCAGGAAGAAAGAGATGAAGGGAGACAGATCAGGTCTGTGGCTGTTCTCGATGAGAGGAGGAGACTGAGGGGGGAGTGAGGGGGGAGTGAGGGGAGAAAAGAAAAAAGAACGACGCCGAAATTAAAAGATTAATTTCTCTCTGCGGCCGTCATTAAAATGTTCTCCCTCTGAATTTCACACCAACTTCATTTATTTGAAGAATTTAATTTGGTTTGATAAGAGTCGGTTTAATAAAGAACTTCAGTGGTTCCCGTTTCACGGAGGTGATTAAATAATCAACGTTCTCTTCTTCTCCAGACCAGTGGTTGGCGTCGACGTCTGGTTCACTGACCTGAGGTCAGGAAGATCGATGACAGCACGGACGCTGATGAAGGACGGATGGACGGAAAAACAAAGAGGTGTGTGAGAAAAATAAACTTTAGGACGGAGGACGCTGACGTCCAGGGTTCGTCTTCTGGTCTGGTTCTTTTCAGATCTCTGTCTCTGCGTTTTTTGTGAAGACACTTCTCCTCTGCTGTGGATGACGCTGTTGCATAAGCAGCCACCGGGGGCAGAGGTGGTTATCTGCCACGCTCGGTTCTGAAGAGATCTCCCGGTCGAAGGTTTGAACCCGCTGACTCCACGTGAACTCTCTGATTCACTAACAAACACTTGGACCAGAACACAAAGGTCCAGTGACAGGTGGAATTCACATGTGATCCATCAGAGCTGACGGCTGGTTGGACAGAGGGGGTGGGAGGGGCATAACAAACCAGACGACAGGTTGAGTCAAACAGGTCTGATGTGAGTGGAGGGGCGGGGGGGCAGCTCTCTCACCCCTCCAGATGAAGGCAGCAGAGGAGGTCTTCATCAGCTGGGTCATGTGACTCCACTGTCAACCTGTAATCCAAGTTAATATTACTTTTTGTTTTTCCTCCATCCCAGAATGCATCACACTAAAGGTGAAAGGAACGAAGTCACGGACACAAGAGGGTTCCCTGGTCAGACGGTGGTGACGATCGTCCTCCGTCACCAGACGACGTCCACAGTTCACTGAGGTCAAAGTAAAGATTTTAAATCATTAATAATTCAATTGTTCAAGATGAAACTTTTTGGGGACGACGACTTCAAGTTCCAACAAAGTCGACCGCGGCGTCTGTGGTGATGGACGACGCTGTAAAACTGCTGCAGTAAGAAGGTTGATGGGGGGTGAGGAGGGGGTGA